ATGGGTCAGGGTGGGATGCTCTTCGGAGGGGTGGTGTGGACTTGTTGGGCTGAATGGCCTGTTTCCACACGGTGTGGGTTCTATGCTTCTAATTCAGTTTGTAGATGGAATGTTTATAGAAAGGAAATTAATTCTAACTTAACAGCACTTTAAATAGTAATGGCAAATAAAGACACCTGCGCCAATAATTCAGCAGGCCGAGCAGCATCATAGGAGCAGAAAGGCTGACGTTTCGGGCCTAGACCCTTCATCAGAAAAGGGGGAGGGGAAGGGGGTTCTGAAATAAATAGGGAGAGAGTGGGGGGCGGATAGAAGATGGATAGAGGAGAGGATAGGTGGAGAGGAAACAAACAGGTCGAAGAGGCGGGGATGGAGCCAGTAAAGGTGAGTGTAGGTGGGGAGTTAGGGAGGGGATAGGTCAGTCCAGGGAGGACGGACAGGTCAAGGGGGCGGGATGAGGTTAGTCGGTAGGAGATGGGGGTGCGGCTTGAGGTGGGAGGAGGGGATAGGTGGGTGGAAGAACAGGTTAGGGAGGCAAGGACGAGCTGGACTGGTTTTGGGATGTGGTAGGGGAAGGGGAGATTTTGAAGCTCGTGAAATCCACGTTGATACCATTGGGCTGCAGGGTTCCCAAGAGGAATATGAGTTGCTGTTCCTGCAACCTTCGGGTGGCATCATTGTGGCACTGCAGGAGGCCCAGGATGGACATGTCGTCTGAGGAATGGGAGGGGGAGTTGAAATGGTTCACGACTGGGAGGTGCAGTTGTTTATTGCGAACCGAGCGTAGGTGTTCTGCAAAGTGGTCCCCAAGCCTCCGCTTGGTTTCCCCGATGTAGAGGAGGCCACAACGGGAACAGCGGATGCAGTGTGCATTAGCAGATGTGCAGGTGAACATCTGCTTGATGTGGAAAGTCTTCTTGGGGCCTGGGATGGGGGTGAGGGAGGAGGTATGGGGGCAGGTGTAGCACTTCCTGCGGTACTGGTATATTCAATGAATGGATTTTGACAGTTACTGTGTTGTTTCCCAGTTCTCCTTTATTCCATTCAGCGAGAGATATGAATAGTGCTGAACTCACAGCTCATCTCATCTCAAAGTTTTCAGCCAATTGTCATGACTATAAAGCCTCATGCAGATCACTTACATCAGCTTACAACTTACAATATTCTTGTGGTGGTTTTGCTAGCACTGTTGGGTGGACTTTAAACTAGTTTGGCAGGTGAATGGGAACCTAACGGGAGGGTCTGACTTAGCTATAGTGGGTGACGGCTTAAGGAAAGAGAATAAAGATAGTAAATAAAAAGAAGCAGCTGAGCAGAGCACTAATATGAATTGAAACCTGGTAGTGACAAAAAAAGTGAGAACGTTTAAAAACAGAGGTTCTTCTGGTGCAGGTGTTAGGATTCAAAGTATAAAAACTAGCATAGGGGCACTTTACCTGAATGCTCACAGCATTCGAAACAAGGTAAATGACTTGACTGCATGGGGCAAGCAATGGCCCAGTGGTATTATCGCTGGACTGTTAATCCAGAGACCCAGATAATGTTCTGGGGACCTGGGTTTGAATCCTGCCACAGCAGATGGTGGAATTCAAACTCAATAAATATCTGAAATTAAGAGTCTAATGATGACTGTGAATCCATTGTTGATTGTTGGAAAAGCCCATCTGGTTCACTAATGTCCCTCAGAGAAGGAAACTGTCATCTGTCTGGGCACTTAGAGATGGGTAATAAATGCTGTCTAGCCAGCAACGCCCTCATCCCATGAACAAATAAAAGGAAAAGAAAATCATCCCCAATGGACATGATGTAGTGGCCATTACAGAGACATTGCTGCAGGGTGGTGACAACTGGGAGTTAAGTATTCAGGTTATCAGACTATTTGGAAGGATGGATATTTAACTCAACCTTAAATATCAGTTAAGGATGACATCAGGGCAGTAGTGAAACATGATATAGGTTCTATAGAGAAAAAAGTTGAATCAATGTGGATGGAAACTAGAAATCGCAAGGGGGAAAAAGTCACCGGTAGGCCACCAAATAATATCACAGTGGAATGGGCAATAAACAAAGCAAAACTGATGCATGTAGAAATGGTACAGCAGTTATCATGGGGGATTTTAATTTATATATTGATTGGTCAAACCAAGTCAGTGAAGGCAGCCTTGAGGAGGAGTTCATTGAATGTATCTGCGATAGTTTTCTCAAACAGTATGTAATGGAATACGTGAAGAAGCAAACCATCCTAGATCCAGTCCTGTGTAACAAGACAGGAATAATGAATGATCTCACAGTTCGGGATCCTCTCGGAAAGAGCAATCACAGTATGGTTGAATTTAAAACACAGATGGAAGGTGAGAAGTTAAAATGGGATGAGGAAGAAGTTGACTAAGGTAAACTAGGAGCAAAGACTATATGGTGGGACAATTGAGGAACAGTGGAGGACTTTCAAAGTTATTTTTCACAGGGCTCAGCTAAAGTATATACCAGTGAAAAAGGAAAGACTGTAGGAAAAGGGATAATCAGCATGGATAACTAAGGATATAAAGGAGGATATCAAATTGAAAGCTAACACAGACAAAGTGGCAAAGATTAGTGGGAAACTAGGGGATTGGGAAATCTTTAAACGTCAACAGAAATCCATGAAAAAACGCTATAAAGAAAGGTAAGCTAGATTATGAGAGTAAACAAGCTCAGAATATAAAAACAGATAGCAAAAGTTTCTACAAATATATAAAAAGAGTGGCTAAGGTAAAAGTTGGTCATTTAGAGGACTTAATAATGGGAAATGAGGAAATGGCTGAGGCATTGAACAGGTATTTTTTGTTGGTTTTCATGGTGGAAGACACAAATAACATGCCAATAATCAATGTCAAAGAGGCTATGGCAGGTGAGGATCTAGAATCAATCATTATCACTAAAGATGTAGTGTTGGGCAGGCTAATGGGGCTAAAGGTAGACAAGTCTTCTGGCCCTGATGGAATGTATCCCAAGGTACTGAAAGAGACGGCAGGGGAAAATTAGCAAACGCACTCGTGGTAATTTACCAAAATTCTCTGGACTCTGGGGTGGTTCTGGCAGATTGGAAAACAGCAATTGTGACACCATTGTTTAAAAAAGGAGGTAGACAAAAGGTGGGTAACTATAGGCCTGTTAGCTTATCTACAATGCTTGAATCTATAATCAAGCTATACATCTGCACAGAAATTGTCCCATCTGGCAGACGCAGCATGGCTTCATGAAAGGCAGGTCATGTTTAACTAATTTACTGGAATTCTTTGAGGACATGAGCGTGGTGGACAACAGGCAACTGGAAAATGTGGTGTATCTGGATTTCCAGAAAACATTTGACAAGGTGCCACAGAAAAGGCTGCTGCGCAAGATAAAGGTGCATGGCATTGCGGGTGCTGTATTAGCATGGAAAGAAGATTGGTTAACCAACACAAAGCAAAGAGTGGGGATAAATAGGTGTTTTTCTGGTTGATATGCCTCAGGGATTAGTTTTGGGACCATAATTGTTTACAATTTACATAGGTGATTTAGAGTTGGGGATCAAGTGTAGTGTGTCCAAGTTTGCAGATAACACTAAGATGAGTGGTAGAGCAGAGTATGCCAAGGACATTGAAAGTCTGCAGAGGAATATAGATAGGCTGAGTGGGCATGGGTGTGACAGATGGAGTAAAATGTTGGTAAAGGGGAGGTCTTCCACTTTGGTAGGAATAACAGCAAAATGAACTATTATTCAAATGGTGCAGAGGGACCCTCTGAAGAGCATCCCTGCATTTTCAATGGCTAATCCATCGAACCTACACACCCCTGAACACAATGGGCAATTTAGCATGGCCAATTCACCTAACCTGCACATCTCTGGACTGTGGGAGGAAATCCACACAGACACAGCGAGAATGTGCAAACTCCACACATTCACCCAAAGGTGGAATCGAACCCTAGCACTATGAGGTAGCAGTGCTAACCACTAAGCCATAGCGCCACCCTGAATACTTACCACATCACAACTCAATGCCTGAAGAAGATCTAGACTCTGTAGACAGCAAAGAGTTCATTGCATTAAAATTATTTTTCTCTCCCTAGATATGTTATCTGTGCGTGCAGACAGGACAGATGTGCCTTTTTATATTTTTTGCCTCCCAAAACTGTATAAATCTCTGCTGCAACTAAAATTTAAGACACCTCTCTTCACTGAAGGCTCTTCACCACATGCTTGTAATAAATATTGTCTGACTTCAGCTTACTCCAGTCCCACAAGTTTCATCGCACATGTTGCACTGCAAACTTTTGTTCTTTAAATGATGCCAAAGGCATAAAAAGGTGTTGGACCTATATAAGGAATGATATCTTTTAAGCAACAGACTAAAAATTGACACTGACTATAGTAGGACTATATTTTAATCTGTCATAGGTTACCACATATTCATAAGTGCAAATTTACTATTGAAAACTTACTGATCTGTCCTATTTCTGGCTGAAAATTACATAGTTAATTCTGTAACTCAAATTGTTCTACATCAGCACTTTCTGGCAAGAGATAAGCTTAGGTACAAAGCAGTTTAAACTATAATCTAGAGATGAGCATGTACTATAGGTTGACATTTCAGTGCAGTATTGAGTGAGTGCTGCACTGTCAGATCTATCAGATGTGATATTAAACTGAGTCACATTTACCTCAGGTAGATGTAAAGGATAGGACAACACTCTTTAAGGAGCAGAGAGTTCTCTGCAGCGTTTCTGCCAATAGTTATTCCTCAACACACCTTAAAGAAATTAATCTGGTGTTGTGGGATCTTTAGTACAGTATATTTGTTCAAGTCCTTTATATGTACATTACAGTACAATCAAAGTACTTAACTGATTATAAGCCACTTTGAAGCAAGAAGTGTTTAGCAGCTAAGAATGTTACAAGAAAATGTCGAACACAGAACGGATCAGAAAAAGAGGGCCTAAATAGCCTCCTTTTATCGTAGGAAAACAACAACCAGATTAGGTACAATCATCCTTACAATTTATTAAATTTTATTTAAAATTTCCCATAGAAGTAGCAAACATTGATAATTAAACCAGTTATAAAAGCCCCAAAAAGTTGCTGGAGAATGTCGAGTACACACTCTTTTGAAAAGAGTCAAGGCTGCAGCTGGAAATGTAGTGCTATTTCTGATGGCAGCTCACAGTCTTTCAACAAGAGGGCACAGTCTCGACAGAGCTGCTTAACCATTTCTGCTTCAATTCCTGGTGCAGTCCTACAACTTCTCATGTGTGACAAAGTAGTACTGTTGATTCCAGGGTCAGGATTTCCAGTCTCACTGCTACAGTCCTGGCTTTCACTTGCAGCATCACTACAGCTGCTCACCTCTGGTTGCTTCTTTGGCAGAGTGTCCAAACCCATGTCTTCAATGCACTCCATTACATCACTGACACTGGTTTCTTTGGGGGATACACACAGATTTCTAAAAATGAGCTCCTCTTGCTGAGCAGCAACACCAAGGAGTTGGTTTACTTTGGCTAGGAGATTAGGATCACTTCCATTCAGTTGAAACCATGATAGCAATGCACTGCAGATACAGAAAATATACTGAGTTTTAATCAAGCTATATCATAGTAAAAGCATTAAGGTCAGGCATTATGAAGCAATACAAAGCAAGTTTCAGGTGCGAAAGTAAAAATAACTCAGAAGAATAGTTTCATATGAAATGTCTGGCATAGGGCACGTTCACAAACTTAATTTCCTGATGTTACAATTTGGAGGTAGACTCTTAGATTAATAGATACAAAACCTATGTAGGTAAACTGTTCCCAGTAACATTTTAGTTGCAAGCTGCAGCTAGCTGGTATAGTAGTTCCACTCTGTCCTCAGAGACTGCAAACAATACTTAGACCAATTATCTCAAAGAAATGGATACAGCATCCTTCCAAGCAAGACAATAGTCTATTTCATCTGACTTGGGTAGCTGCTGAGTGCCAGGCTGTGGGGAAGTTCTTGGTGTTAGGAGATAACAAGGTGTAGAGCTGGATGAACACAGCAGGCCAAGCAGCAGAGGAGCAGGAAGGCTGACATTTCGGGCCTAGACCCTTCTTCAGATTTGGGGGAGGGGAAGGGGGTTCTGAAATAAATAGGGAGAGAGGGGGAGGCGGATAGAAGATGGATAGAGGAGAAGAAAGGTGGAGAGGAGACAGACAGGTCAAAGAGGCGGGGATGGAGCCAGTAAAGGTGAGTGTAGGTGGGGAGTTAGGGAGGAGATAGGTCAGTCCAGGGAGGATGGACAGGTCAAGGGGGCAGGACAGGGTGGGGCTTGAAGTGGGAGGAGGAGATAGGTGGGAGGAAGGACAAGATAGGGAGGCGGGGACGAGTTAGGCTGGTTTTGGGACGTGGTAGGGGGAGGGGAGATTTTGAAGCTTGTGAAGTCCACATTGATACCATTGGGCTGCAGGATTCCCAAGCGGAATAGGAGTTGCTGTTCCTGCAGCCTTCGGGTAGCATCGTTGTGGCACTGCAGGAGGCCCAGGATGGACATGTCATCTGAGGAGTGGGGGGGGGGGGGGGGGGGGG